CCTGTAACTGCCCACAGGCACCGCAGGTGAGTTTCTGTCCCTCGCCTCCTGGCAACAGTTAGTTCAACTACTGGCCTCAGTTCCTGTCACTGAGGCCGGTGAATTCCTGGAGATGAACAAGCCCAATCCGAGACTGAGTTTGGAGCCTCTCAACAAGAGGCAGCTGGCAGTGGGTGCCGCCTGCTTTCTCGCACCTCATATGGCCTCCTCTTTCTCTCCCACTAGCGTTTGTGCCACCAGTGCCTCAGCTGTCTTGGTGTACCTGACCCAGAAGACCTCAAACTTTTCTCCTCACCATCCCTTAACCTCCACCTTACACCTTCTTCCTGCTCTTCCCGGAGCCACTGGTCATTCCCTCCCCAGAGACACCTCCACGTCTCTCCTCTTCGCCACGTCGGGGAACCAGAGCAGCTGCACCACCCAGATTCTTGGGGAAAAGCCAGGACAGGTGGCCTGCCCAGAGCACTAGCAGCAACCCCCTCACCGTGTGGCCAGTGGAAACCCAACAGGGGCAGAGCTTTCCACCACCACCACATCTCCTTATGGGAGAATGTAAGCTTTCCACCACCACATCTCCTTATGGGAGAATGTGCCTGTCGGGTTTCTGTACATCTTACGAGTGAACTTGACAATCCTAACAATATCTATAGCTGTACAGAATAAGGGGGTTGGGTGAAAAGCCTTCAACGTACCCCCATACTACTTCAAAACTACTTTATCCCTAAGGAGGATAAAAACTAATCAGAGGTGGGCAAATGTGACGGGTCTTGGGGGGGAGGGGGGTGCATAGTGTATCTATGGTGTCCAAACATCCACATACATGAAACAAGGTGTAGGCTGAAGTTAGCTTTTCAGTTGGAATCACTGATATTTTTCAGTATCAAACACTGGGGGAGGGGGGGCGCCAACTTATTCAAAGGTGAATTCCTGCCCCTGTAGACTTTCAAGAGAGGCAGTCTATCCAGCTTGACAGAAAAAAAGGATGTTCTAGGGGAAAGGTAAAAAAAAAAATCTCAAGTAGGGCCACACTTTCACCATCCATGCCCTATCCAGGGGAAGCTATATATATGTACTGTATATATATCAGGATATGACTCCATAGCATGCTACCTAATGTTGGATCCAGCTCAATTTAGCTGCACTTACATCTCACAGCTGCCCCTGTGAAAAATTAGTCACAACTGATTTAGTAACTCATATTGATTTCAGTAGGAAAGTAAGTGGAATTCCCTCAGTTTGCACCCTACCAGTGAGGTCTCGTGATGAGATAGTCTCTCCCACTCCACCATTCTGTCACTTTTGTCATATTTGTACCTCCATGCTACACAACAACAACAACAAAACTCATAGCTTTATCTGTTGCACTTCTGGATGCCAAGTGAGCACAGAAGGCATAGCAACCCTGAGGAGGAGGAGAAGTGGCAACCTTAGCAGCAGAAAGGAAGGAAGACCAAACATGAGACTGGTTGATTCACAGAAGGAAGCCATTACCTTTGGCTCCTAAGACCTGAACAGGGGGCTTGATAACAGAACCTCTGGGAGGTCACTAATTCATAGGGTCGCCATAAGTCACAAGTGACTTGGCCGCATATAAAAACAACAAAATGTTTTCATCGGTGGTTTAGAAAAGGCATGAATAAAAGGGAGTGCTGCTACAGAAAGATCTATATAGTGGTGCCTCACTTGACGATTACCGTCTTCATCGGTGGTTTAGAGAAGGCATGAATAAAAGGGAGTGGTGCTACAGAAAGATCTATACAGTACAGTGGTGCCTCACTTGACGATTACCTTGTTAGATGAGGAAATCGCTTGACGATTAGTTTTTTTGCAATCGCTATTGCAATCGCTAAATGATGACTGAATGGGCTTTTTTTTTGCTTAACGTTGATCGGTTCCCTGCTTCGGGAACCGATTTTTCGCTTAATGACAATCAAAAACAGCTGATCGCCGGGCTTCAAACTGGCCACCAGCTGTGCAAAATGGCTCCCCGCTGTGCTTTAGGATGGATTCCTCACATTACAGGCACCGGAAAATGGCCGCCCTATGGAGGATTTTCGCTGGACGCTGAGGTATTTCGCCCATTGGAACACAATGAGCCAGTTTTCAATGCATTTCAATGGTCTTTTTCATTTCGCTTGACGAGGATTTCGCTTAACAGCAATTTGAACGGAATGAATTATCCTCGTCAAGCAAGGCACCACTGTATGTTAAATTGCACTGTTGCGAAGGACACAGGAAGAGCCTGGATGGTGGGAAAGGTTTTAGCCGTGTATGTAAACGTGACCCTTTTCCTGAGGTTCATCCATGAGTCATAGAAGAGGCAACGTCCCCAACATCACAGTCACCATCTGTCAATTCTGATCTTGCAAACTGACTGGAGGAAGTACTTCCTCCTCCCCAGATTTCCACCTCTCGCTGTATGTTTTGTGTGTGTCAGAGTGTGCATCTGTACCCGCCATTCATTGCAGCTCCATCTGCAAATAAGGAACAGACGACAAGTGTCGTTTCTGCATCACGGAAAGCTCATTTTTGCAGGTGGAGCTGTGGTTACGAGTGTAGAACCAAAAAGATCAAGAGTCCATCTTTCCCACCTGGTGTTCACCATCCCATAACAATCCTAGGCTCCAAAACATGGTCTCCTGTGATATCGATTGGAATTCGGTTTCCACCATTCCCAGCCAGCACAGCAGTAGTCCAACTTTTCCCAACTTTTGATTTGGATTCCCTCATCAGTTCTGGACTGCAACATCCCCTGGCAGCGAGTGGTTCATTTCCCCAAAGGAAGAGACATAGGAGTTTTGACTTGCCTGCCCCTAGTAACACCTTTTCCAGATTCTAGCAATTCTATTCAAAAGGAAGACATCCGATCACGGAACAAATTTTAAACTGGGCTCGCCTGCACATTGTTCCCACTCTGCCAACTCATCCCAGTTGTCGTGTCCAAATGCACACCACTAACCATGAAGGAACTAGTTTTCTGATATATGAACAAAAACCAGCGTCAAGTGTGGCCCGAAGGTAGTATTGCACTCAGAACATGGAGAGTGCATTTTTCAGACCTACACAGCCATAGGTATTTCTGAGACATGTGACAGGTCTTCTAAACCCCAGCGTTTCCTCTTTTGTGAGCAATACACTACATGTCTGTCTACAAAGAATCACAGAATAACGGAGTTGGAAGAGGTCTGTATGGCCATCGAGTCCAGCCTCCTGCTCAGTGCAGGAATGCAAATCCAAACATATCTGGCTGATGGTTGTGTAATTTCCTCTTGAATGCCTCCGGTGTTGGAGTGCTCACCACCTAATCGGTATCATTGTCGTATTGCTCAAACAGTTAGAAAGCTTTTCCTGATATTTAGCCCAAATTTGGTTTCCTGTAACTTGAACCCATTTTAACATGTCCTGTACACTGCGATGGTCAAGAACAGATCGTGACAGTCCTCTGTATGACTACCTTTCAAGTATTTGAAAAGTGTGATCCTGTCTCCCTCTCTTTTTTTTCTCAAGACTAAACAGGCCCACCTCTTTCAGTTTTTCTTCACAGAGCTTGGTTTCCAGTCCCTTGATTATCCCTGTTGCTCTCCTCTGAACTTTCTTCAGTTTGTTGGTATCTTTCTTAAACTGTGGTGTCCAGAATTGGACATGATAA